TAATTTTTATTGAAAATAAATGCCTTCCATTGCTAATACGAGATTTGAAAAGGGAGGGAAAAAAAGTTCGGGAAAAGACGGGATCGAACCCGGGTCGATTGTGTGAAAAAGCCAATGACACGCGCTTATCCATCTGCACCACTAGAGCTGATGAGTTACAGCCACTTTTAACTAAATATAAATATACACCCCGTATTTTTTATTCCATAGTAAGAGCAATTCATACAAATCATTTAAACTGAGCTACTTTAATACCATCTCCGAACTTTCTACCACGACTCTGCTGTTCTTCCTGTATACGTTGATTGACAGATGTCTCGTCCAGTCAGCGGTGAGTAATCCCAAACCAATGGCGCCCTCTTCCGGTTTGTCTGATTGCCGTTGTGTTTTCTGACTTGTTATAATGTTTTCTGAATTGTTGTTGTGCTTTCTGAATTGTTATTTTGTTTTTTAGACTTGCATTTGCGTTTGTAATTTGTTATTTTGTTTTCAGAATTGTGATTTGTTTTGCACTTCTCTGTCACCGTAGTTTTACTATATGTCATGCATTTACAAATCTGATACACAAGATGGAGACATTTTACAGCACAATACGGACTGAGTAAATTTTCTCAGAGGAGCTTCAGATACATGTAGGCCTACTGATTTTTTCTTTTCTGATTTCTTTTTCTTTTCTTTACTACAGTAAACTTAGGCCTATCACACATTCTCCCATAACACTGTTTTAAATATATCATTTAAAACGAATTATTTTCTAGATATTTTCTGTTCTGCATTATGTTTTGCATGCCTTTTTCCTGGTTTTGCATTTAACTTTAATTTTTAATAGCATAGATAATTATGAACGGTGTCCATAATCAGATATGGACATATTTGTCCACAATCGTCTCAGAATAGCTTAATGTAGTAGGCCTAAGACTTAAGAACACGTTAACAAGTTAAAATAACTTCAGTGAAATTAATTTACAGAAACAAACCACCTCTGTGTCATACCAAAGATACGATCTTTAATGAATCTTTAATGATTTCAAGGATTTTAATGTAGTTGTTTTTTTGGTGTTTGGCTTAGTGTTATGTTAGAATCATTATTATACTCTTATACCTTTTGTTCTTTAATATTTTGAATTGTTTTTAGCTTCATTTTTTGTTTTTCATTTAAATGTTAAGTTTTGAAATTTTGTTGTATGCATTTGTCATTTTTATTTAATTCCTTTATTTTTAAAATGTGTATAAGTAGTATTTATAAAGTTTTAGCTTTTAGTTTTGGATCTGTTTTTAGTTGTCTTAAAACTACAACTGATTGCTTCTGTTGTCCTTATTTGTAAGTCGCTTTGGATAAAATTAATAAATAAATAAATTAATTAATTAATTAATTTCAGGTTTGACGGAGTCCTGTGCGCATGCGCGTGAATCAGGAAACATGGCGGCGCTCAGTCAGGTAATGACTTTAAAAGTTTAATCACAACTAAACTGTAAAATAAATTTTCAGAAGATTTATATAGATAATGTTCTCTGGTTGTAGAAAATGCTGTTATGTCTTGTGTAGGCGTAAAAGCACGGAAGTTGTCGGGCTCTCCTGTGAAACAGGCGCATTTATCGAGTGTTGTTAGCGAATATTTCATAGTTATGTTTTCAGTTTGGCCTCGTTATGTGTTTTAATAATCTCCGATAATTGATTGCTGACTGATTTGCGCTTTCAAGGTCGCTGTTTTGCCACTTTTTGACTCTCTTTATGTCGCGACAGCTGTGTGTGCAGCACCATCACGAGACTGATGTGTGTGTTTTACATGATTCCTGTCAGTGAATGGTTCAGAAGCATTATTATGATTTTGTACGATGTATTATGTCAGCAGTCCGTTTGTGTACATCGTGTTTAACGAGAGAAACCTATGGTTTCTATGTTATCTATATTTATTTAGTCATTTTAATTTTTTTGAATCAAGAAACGACTAAAAACACATCTGTTCCACCTTTATTTGACCCTCTAACTCTTAACACTTTCTATTCTATTTTAATTCTACTTTATCTATATTTATATATATATTTTTATTTATTCTTTATTTAAAAATTTTTTTCTATTCTATCTACTTGTTTTTCTTTGTGTGTGTGT